AAAAGTTACTAAATGATTTTTAAAGAATTTTTAAGAATTATTTCAGAAATAATAAATGATAATGAAAAATTTACTTTAATGTTCTGAAAATTCTTTCAAACAAAACATTTAATAGAGTAGAACCTACCAAAGTAAACGTGTCAAAATTAGTCTAGTTTCTATAAGTGAGAAGTGGTTATCAGTCTTTTTAACTGTTTTAAGACAATTTACTTTCCTGGTTATTATGCAATATAAGAGAAAAGTATGGTGATCAGTCAAATTTTGACCTCTGTAGGATTTTTCTTTTTTGCATTTTTTAATGGGTTGATATTACGATCCCAAAAATGTAAAAAAAAAAACCATACAGAACTGTGTGCCTTTTTGCATTATATCTCAGGACTGAATAAATTAAAACTTATGAAACTTGGCAGAGTTATTTCTGTATATGGGAATATGCCATTAAAATTTGGCAATTAAAAAGGTTAAGGGATGGAGGAGACAGAAGGGTCATGTATGGTACCTTGAATGGGGTCAGACTTAATGAAAATTTTACTCATTACTGGCACTTACAAATTTCTTTAAAAACTTACTTTCACACTCTAAAAATAAGCTTTGTGTCTATAATTAAGAATAAAAAATTATTCAAAATAAATTCTTAATAGAATTATTAAAAAAGTATACTTACAGTCCATCTTACACGAATAGCATTAGCATTTACAGCTCGAAGNCAAAGGGCATAAAGAAAGTATATTTATAATGTTTTAGGATCATTTTCAACAGTTTACAATAAAATCCCTTATGTTATAATAAAATATATAGTAGTCAATCAATTTCAATTATATCAAAAAATCAACAAGAAAATGGACTTAATACAAGAATAAATTCTAAAATTCTTTTGCTGTTAATCATTTATGGCAACAAGTAATGAGTTTATCCTGTCCTCAAAAAATTCTGATGACTATGTAAAAATGTGGCATATGCTAATGAGTTTGTGAGAAAGTGAAAGTCAAAAAAAGTCAGGCTAGGCTGTATGAGAGATGAAGAAAGACTTCCTATTGAAATGTCTGCAGCAAATCCACAGTCTGGTTTGTTGTATATAGTCCAACACCATTCTGAGATGCCTTAATCAAAACATGACACTGTTCTTATATACCTTGACAATGAAATGACAATAATTTTAGAAAGTGAAATCTTTAAATCCCAAAAATTGAATAAATGTTCAGATTTCTTCATGAGAGCACTTTTCTAAATCTGTCATCATTTGAAAATGCTACATTACAACTGTCCTTCACTTGTTTCATTTTAACTATTCAATGCTAACAATCAGAGTCATTTCTCAGACTGGCTGCATTGAAATTTACATTAAACAGTATTTTAATTTTTAAACTGTAAACCTTACGAAGTTACTTTTTGACCATCCCATGTATATATTACACACATTAATATATCCAATAACAACTATAGATTTTTATAATATAAAAGATAAAAAGCTAAAAAAACTTTTTTTAAACAAAAAATCTTAATTGTAAAATAAAAAATATTTTGTTCATTATATTATACTAACGTTCAGGAGGCAATGTTATCACTTCTGTTTCTTTGCTAGGATTACCCTCTCCTACTCCATTGACAGCACTCATACGAAACTGGTAACTAGATGCAGGTTTCAAATTGCTTAAAATAGCATATCTCTGAGTACCAGAAATATTTGTTTTAGCAGTTACCCATGGAATTAATGATTCTACATAACCATCTAAATTAAAAAGAAAATAATAACTGTTAAATTTACTAGAAATTATTGAATAAATTTAAAATGATTAGCATCATATCTGCATTGAGTTAATTAATACTGTAGAATCTAAAGTATCATTTGACTAAATATAACTATGAAAAACACCATAAATATACAGCACCATTTAATTTTATCATCGTATTTACATTATTACTATTAATTAACTGAAATAATTTAATTAGATTCTATATAACTTTAATTGATTTCAATAAAATTCTATTTACCTGAAGAAGGAACTGTACGCTTCTGTACAATGTAATTTGTAATTGGACTATTCCCATCAAAACCATTTGACCAACTAATATTAACAGTTTTTGGAAGGGTATTTAATAAATCAACTTTTACATTTGCTGGAGGATGAGGAAGTTCTGTAAAAAAAATAATAAAATAAAATATAGAAATCAAATTTTACAATTTATTAAATATACTTATAAATTTACAAAAACAAATGTTTGAGTTAAAATTACATTTTTTAGAATACAGTTTAATAAAAGTTTAACTTAAATGATTAAAATATTAATTTGAATGATTTTTTATTTTATAATTACAATATGTTTAATTTAAAATTCTTTAAAATTTATTTTCTGTTAGATAATAAATGCTAATATATGTATACAAAGCATGTAATGCATAAAATATTAAAATAATAAATATTTTTAATATTTATTTTATCAATACAAATTTTTATATAATTTTACATGATTTGTTTTTAGATTTTAAATGTATAAATATTGCATCTGTTTATATATAAGCAGTGCCATTATACATAAACAAATTTCTCATTTTTAATTAGTGTTCCTAGAAAAATAAAATTGAAAATTACAAATCGTATGAAATGAATCTGCTGCATATACTTGTAAATGATGAAATCAAATTTTTAAGATATGAATATTTTTATGATTCACCATATCAATATTTTTTTGTTTTTGATTAACTGATTAGCTAGTTTCACTCACAGTAGTAGTACTTTTTTTGTGGTTTTAGGCCCCTTACCGCAGTAGTATGTTATGTAACATAAGTATTAACAATAAAGACATATATAATTCTAAATCAAATAACTTGTGATTATTTAAAAGTTTTTAATGTTCAAAGTTTTTCTTTGCTTCAAATTTTTCAAAGTTTATATTTAAAATGTTGACTTTCAAAATATTTAAGTCTTTATTAATTTTTTCCAAAAAATAAGCTATTTATCATCATTTTTATCTTGAATTATAAAATCTTTAAAATTTGTTGGGAAAACCTAATTATGACTGGCTAGAATAATAAATCATAAAACATCTAAAAAATTTCATACTAGTAAAAAGGAATTATTGCATTTGAAAAAAAAAACCAATTAAAAAATTTCAATCATCTTCCTAAATGTCACATAATAGAAAATAACCATAGCCATCATAAAATTCATAGGTAGAATAATAACATTTGATAATAGTACAAAAAAGTATTTTTAAAAAATTTTTCTAAATATTTAAAATTACAAATAAAAATGAATTACTCACCAATAACATTCAATTTTGCACTTCTTGTTTCATTTCCACCAGGAGATATAACTTCACAGGTATAGAGACCAACATCAGTATTACGAGCTTGTCTTATTTGCAAAGTATTATCATTTAATATTTGCACTCGACCACCAATTCGAGATTCCAGTTTCTTAGTACCAAAATACCAAGCAATTGTATATGGTACATTTGAATCATGTGAAACTTTACATTGCATTTCAGCATTAGAACTTAAAATGACTTTAGTGTCAACTGGTGGCTGTGTAATCTGGGTTCGAACTGAAATTATAAAAAT